AAGTACCCAGCAAATCAGTGCCATCAGGACCAGAATATTTGTGTACACACTGATGGTTAGAAATGTAGGTGCCAATGCATCTTTGCTGGTGGAAATGTCATTGCTTTGGGAATTGAAGTATCTCCATGGTTACGGCAGCAGCTGAGCAGCAGTTCTTCTAACTGTATATATTTTGGACTGAGGCACTAGCCCCCAGGGATAATAGGTATCTGAAACTCATATGGAATGACTCTATTATCTTCCTATTGGATAGCATGTCTGCGTATGCAGCACCATACTGCAAACTGATGTCCAAGGGGCCTTATTCTACTACTTCCTGTGAGTCGTGAAGAGAGAGGGCAAAGCTGATGTAACATGGCATCACTTAGCATACGATGAAGTGGGCTGTCACCTACGAAAGCGTACACCTTTCTGAACGAGTTAGTCTCTAAGGTGCCACCTGTCTTGCCTTCTGCCTCAATGGTTTAAGAGAGCGTAGAATTCTGATGTAGTAGCATTTTACACTTACGTTACAAAGGCAGAAAAGACTACAAAAGGTATACAGTCCTGACAAGTCAGATACTATTACGAACATAGATGGTGCATCTATGCGTGAAATTAATGTGAGTGAATAAACTCTATTGCATATCACACCAGAGTTTATTGCTCCAGGCACTGTATCTTCACATGTGCCCAGGGCCACAACATGTTGAGTCAGGTTGGAGCAGCACCAGCTGGTAGGGGGTCCTGGGGGTCAGCCTTCCAGCCGGGGCTTCTCCTACCCAGTTCAACATGCTGCAGAACAGCTGGCTGGGGCATGAGGGTGCTCCAGTACAGTTGCCCCGCACTGAAGCACACTCATACCCCAGCCAACCCCATCAGCATCTACACGTGAGTTGCTGTGCACTAAAGAAAGCCACTGCAGGATAGTGTTTGTATTTACAAGTACTAACCTGTGGCAGAGTGAATTAGTTTCCTGCAGCCTAATAGGGCCACCCCTGTAGATGTTGAGATTTTACTGGGGAGCTAATTAGGCAGCTCTGCAATAATGCTAATTAGGCAGCTCATGCAATCTCATGTAGGTGTGCCCACTAGATCTCTTTCAGCATCAATTGGATATTTTTCTCACATGCACTGAAAAAAATCAGTGTTGCCAGTTATTTTTCCCTTATAATATTCCCATGCACTGTTTAAAACTGAAGCTTATTTTAGCTTTTGAGTTCTTAATTTCTTGAGCTCTCTTCAAACTTTCCTCTGTCCTTGAGGGTAAATGCCACTTGTCTAAGTGGCATTTAGAAGACAACACAAGTTTCACCCTGCTTACTGCCCCTTCTGGATCCTTAATGAAGATGATAAACAAGACCAGAACCAGCATCAATCTCTACAGTACTCCAAATGAAAATTGGTATCAGTTATCTTCAAATGGTGCCAGTATCACTTGAAAAATTATACAACAGAAGAGGACTTCATATTGGCATTATGCCACTTTTATTTTGACTGATGATCTGCAATTTGTACCATGCAGATAAGCAACTGAGTAGAACTATTAGCATAAGCTATGGGGAAAAAAAAGCTGACAGTGAAAAGGAAGAAGATCAAAATGAAGGTTATATAGCCCTCTGAGTCATGTGAATGTTATTCTACCCTGTGACTCTAAACAGTGGTAGTAATTTGACTTGATATCCTCTGTGCCAGATCTAACATCTCATGCATAAGTAGTTTTAACACAAAGATAATTCCAAAGGATGAAAGAGCAACAACAGAGTTTCCTGTGGCATGGAGGGGAAGTGGCCACTGCATGGAAGTATACCCATGAATCCAAAACCAATTCAAGCCACACCTTCAAATAAAGACACTCCAGACATTGTTTATATCTTGATATTGCAATATTTTAAGGACAGAATTAGGACCAGGAAATTAAGCTGCAGAAGGAAAGGGAAAGACACCATTCCCTTTAAAATATAGATTTCATAGACATTAGGGCTGGAAGGGACCTCGGAAGATCATCGAGTCCAGCCCCCTGCCCAAGGGGCAGGAAGTCAGCTGGGGTCATAGGATCCCAGCAAGATAAGCATCCAGTTTCATCTTGAAGGTGTTCAATGAAGGCGCTTGAACCACCTCCGGTGGCAGGCTGTTCCAGACCTTGGGGGCTCGGACAGTAAAGAAATTCTTCCTTATGTCCAGCCTGAAACGGTCTTGTAGTAGTTTATGACCGTTCGACCTAGTCGTCATCCCTTGGGGCACTCGGGTGAACAAACGTTCCCCCAGATACTGGTGGTCACCCCTGATAAACTTATAGGTGGCCATCAGATCACCCCTGAGCCTGCGCTTTTCCAGGCTAAAGAGCCCCATGGCTCCCAGCCTGTCATCGTAGGGTCTGCTTCCCTGACCTCTGATCATGTGCGTGGCTGTTCTCTGGACTCTCTCAAACTTCTCCACATCCTTTTAAATTAGTTATCGCAGAAAAGTCCAATAAACAAGAATTGTTTCTCCTTGTTAAAAGTTTATTATTTGATCTTTGCATACAAAAAAGGTGAAAGCCTCATCATTCTTCCCTTTGCGAAACTCATTCTCAGTTGCTACCTTATATAAGCCAAGTACGCTTTGAGACAAGAAAACTGTTGTGTCAGAAGATGTGATTCACATTACTCAAACTTCACAACGAAAGACAGAAGAAGAATACCAATCACAGGATAAGTCACAGCATCACCCTCATCAAAAATAAATAACAATATGTAGTACCTACATGGTACTTACTGCCATCTGAGGGTCTCAGAGTGCTTTGTTAACTAAATTAACTAATGTAAGCAATTATCTTCCCTACCTAGAGATTACTAGCGCACTAATTGCTGCTCTGATAGCACTCAATTATTCGGTCCATTTCCACTGGATTTGTAGTTTAATAGAATCATTCCACTCATCATTACTGGGGGAGTGCTCAAGGTAGGGAGAAAGACATGCTGACTCTTACGTTTTCTGGGTCTGTTCTTTTGAATCAAGCTACAAATATTTATTTAAGATCATATAGGAGATGAAGCTTCTATATAGTCTAACGTTTCTGTATTAATGTTCTAATTTTTCCCGAAGTCTAGGCTCTATAGGAAATTCACTTAATACCAGACAGCACAAAAGACCACTTAGGCCACTCTTCCTGGATACCTGTTTTGGGGACTTAACCCTGATAATTGAAGTAGAGCTAGCAAAAAAAAAGTTTAATCAAAGCTTCACTGTGATTTAAAATTACTGGTTTTTCAGATAGCAAATTTTCATTTCATTCCACATTTTCCATTTTTGGTTAAAACTAAATGAAGTAAAAACATTTCACACACACTTCAAAAAAAATTACGCAGTATCAAGAAACCTGAATATTTCTGTTCCTTTCAGATTTTCACAAATTTAGCATTTCCTGAACAATTGTAGTGCTGAGCTCCCTAGCTCCCAATCCAGCTCAGTGTCTGAACAACAATTTTAACTTTAAACATTTCAGAGAGAAAGATTTTTGGGTTGCGAGAGATCCAGCACATAAGTGCCCTAAACACTGTTATGGGGTTTGTGGGTTTCTTAGTGAAAATTTTAATAAATTCTTTGTCCCATTTCACATCAGATCAGAGTCAAATATCAAAACTTGACCACTTCTCACAAAGGTCTGTTTTCCAGCCAGTGTTATGCATCATTCATGCCCTGGGAAATTTGCTAAGTTGTAAGGATCAGTTTCACTTTGTAGTAGATGGGGTACACATACAGGCAAAGGATGGGCTACACACAAAGCAATGGGGTACACACCAAGTCAAACTACAGCAAGAGTACATAGCTATTCAGCAGAGCACACTGTTGATTGTGAAGTAGCACTGACCAAAGCTGGTCAATTCCTATTTACCGGTTAGGTGCACAATTTCAATTTCAAAATGTGTGGTCAGCACGGTATATAGATAATGCAAAGCAAAGGAAAACCTTGGCTGGAGATAAGAAAGACAGCCACTAGAGGAAACTAAGGCGAGAGCTCTGTGAAGTAAAAAAGAAGAAAATGAAAGATGCATAAGCCAACAGGCCAAGCATGAGAAGGGTAGGGATAGTTTGGTTAAAACAAATGCATATAGAGAAAGCAAAGTGATTTAGTGGTAACTGAAGTTTTTTTAGATGTATTTTCCATATACACATTCTCATCTGTGGGGCTCACACCCTGTACTTCAGCTGGAGACTTTTTGCCTTAGCATTTGTAGAGTGTTCTAGCTTTAACAACACTTAACATTCCACTGATTTAATATGGTCTAAAAAATAACGTGCAACTTCACCCTAAGTTAAGGCAGTCTAAATATGATACAAGTTTTGCCTGTTCAGATAGCCTTAACTTGACTTTCAATTTGACCCAGTTGCAAGCCTTTAAGTCTACCATTCAATAACTAATTAAAAAATTAGATAGCACTTTTGGAGCAACTGTACATAAAAAATACACCACACTAAGCTAATTATTGGTATCACTTTATCTGGTGTTTGTCTTCTAACTCTGCAACTGTTACATAAATGTTATTCACAGAGATCTTTGCTGGCATCATCAACAAAGCTGATGTATACACAATGACAGCCTGACATGAGAAAGTTCTACCTGAAAGTTACTATTGATTCAGCTCTGTAAGACCAGGAAAAAAATACATCAATATTTATTTCAAGAGTCTGAAGAAAGTCTGTTTTGTTGTTTCACCTTTAAGACCTTTTTCAGATACTTTCATATTTGAATATCTTCAAACTGGCTTGAACTTAATATTGAATTTGTCACAGCAGGTCCCATTAACACTACAATTCTGACTATGCCACAGAGTTATCCTCGTACATTGAATCAACAAAATATAATAACCCCCATTTTAAAGTGGGAAACAAGCATGAGTTAGCATTAGAAAGGTACTAAGCTCTGAGGTAACCTTTACACCGAGGCATAAATGACTTGCACAAAGTCACATAAAATCCTGTGCCAAAGTCAATCATTGCACCTAAATCTCCTGAGGCCAGGCCAGTCCAGTCTTGTTTTCACTGTAAGAGAATCTTTGCTGCCATAAAAACACAGCTCTCATGGCTGGTACCAGCTCTGACAATGCTGAACTATGCTGCAAAAAACATTAATAATGATGCAGAAATATTTCTGTTGTCTCATGCTGACAGGTGAGTCCTATTACTTTTCTCAGAATGTACAAGCTGCCACTCTCAGAAAGACGGGCCCGGAGACAAAAATAGAAGGGCTTGGCAGGGAAAAATATTTAAGTCAAAAAAGTGTTACATTGATGGTGATGCTGGTAATTTTTCAGTTAACAATAAAGGAAAACAGTAAGTTGCATCTGTAGCAGGTTGTATGTAACCATTTCAGTTAGAGATGTGTGTGTGGTGGAGGGCAGGATAGGATGATGTTTCATTGCTTACATTGTTATGATTTATATTGTCAGGACACCCTAGTATGGTTCTGTAAAATACATTGTCCCAACTATGTTACAAAGTCATAGTGTTGCAAAACAGATGCCCCTAAAGGTGTCAGATAAACCTGGAGTATAAAACTAGTGTGACAAATGAAAGACTAATTATCTGACCCACTTGAAATGAAACTTCTTCAGTTGTAAGAGTCTGTAAATGTAATTTTACATACCAGAACACAGCTCCTGTGGTACGGTTCCTTCCTTTATCCATTTGTCTCCTGCTAACTGGCTACTTAGGACTCAATCCAAATTCACTTTCATGTGCCTAGATGACACTCACATAGCCTTGTAATAGAAATATTTGGCACCTGAATGTAGTTTGGTTTTTCTGTGACCAAAGTTTCAGTATCAGCAAGACATGTCTGGCCAAGTCTCTTTTGCCCAGGCACCTATACCACTCCAGTACAGCCTCCTGAACATACACAGTAGAGAAGGCAGGGCCAACCATAGGCCCACTGAATCCAAAATTGTACCAAAAACAGTTAGGAGGCTACTTAAGTGATATTTAGGAGCACAAAGGTAGAATATGGATCTGGGGCACAGAGGTCACAGTTTTGTCTAGTAGTACTAGATAAACGAAGTGAAGAATACAGCCACTGCAGAACATTTAACACCAATTATTTGATATCATATGTTGTACTGATTAAGTAGTGGAAATCCACTCGAATAGTTATAGTCTGCTTTTTCTAACCCGAATGCAAAGTATTCCTCAGAAAGCCTTCTGTTTCCTCTCAATCAAAATCTAAATGACTTGATTTACATTTGTGACCTTAGTGTACCAGGGAGTGAACTGAATTGTATGGTAGTTTCAGTTAATTCCCTGGCATGTAAAGCCGCTGTGCCAGCAAGGGAAGTAATATTTTTGATGAAGAAATAAATCATTAATACCAAATGGCTAGATTCCTTGAACAGCTAATAGGTGAATTTAAAAGTCACTGTTAAAATTATTTTTTTATTTTTTGTTGGCTGGCCAACTCTGTCTGACATCCAGTAATCTTCACAATGTACATGCTGTTCTTCAGCAAGGGCTATTAATATCATGGATTCAGGGATGCTAATCTTCTGCAATAATAGATTTATAATTCTCCTGTTGGACACCAAAATATTTTGTATTAACAAAACCCAAATGACTCAGTAGCAGCTTGGATAGTTATTACAATACTATAAACAAATACTATCACGAAGTAAAATAGCTATTTTAATTATTTTGCCTTTGCTACTCAAAGACAAAAATAACCAGTTTGGTAATTACAACTTGAAAACAGTTGTTATATATCTTCAGTGTAAGATTGTCTAGGCTAAGAACCTTTTCACCGCATCCCATCGCACTGAACTGCATATCACATTATACACAACATCGCACGATACTACATCCCAATCTCATCGATAGTCCAAGTGCCATGTGACAGATGCAGACAAAGGCAATTTGACAAATTGCTATCTTAAAGATTATGACCCAGTTGAATATACTGAATTTTGATACAGAAGAAAAGTTATACTCAAATTGAAATGGCAACTGTTTTAAGGTACTTATGCATCCTCTTTGCTACAGTAACCCCACAACAAAAAGGCAGGCTTATTGTAACATGGGCCTTCCCAGCATCCTTGCTCACTGGACTGAGTAGCCATGGTGCTGACAGCCATGGTGTTGACAGCTGGCCGGACGCAAAACCGGCAGCATGGGGAAGCAGCACGCGGTGGCAGCACAGCGTGGTGAATGGCGGCGGTGGGGAGCAGGCAGCTTGCGTGCGGCTGCTGCCATTCACCGCTCTGTGCCACCGCCGTGTGCTGCTTCCCTGAGCTGCTGCGCATACCCTCTGGGGCCATCCCAAGTACCCCCGGGAGAACGTATACCACAGTTGACAACCTCTGCTCTAGCTGATGCCATCACTGCCTTACTGACAGGCTCCCACGGGAACAGGGGGAGCAAAGGAGCAGCCTCGTGTGTGGAGAACACAACTTTGTAGTGCTCCAGCCAGGGGGCTGTGCACATGTGTATGCACCCATAGTGCTTTATTTTTGTAATGCTACAAATGAGCATGTGTCCATAGCCTATGAGGTGACTGTTAGCAAATGGTGCCTTTTAATGGAGATCACTGGGCTCCCTCCAACACTGAATTTTTCATTTTAAAAACCCACTGAATGTATGTGTTCTGACCTCTTGTAACACTCAAGGTATAATATATGACTCCCTCCTCCCTGCTTGCCAGTCGGCCAACAGCACCCCCCAATCTGGAAAGGGCTACGCACCAGAACAGGTACCCTCCAGAAAGGTTACATTCCTTAAAAAAGGTTGAAAACCCCTAAACTAGAGGCAGCCCTCTCTACCACTGCTGTGGTTGCAAAAGTTGCTTCTGCTGCTGCCACAAGAACACCAACTGTGGCAGGGTCCCAGCAAGGCAAGCTGTCAGGGAACCAGTCACCCTTCCTCCCTCCCTCCGCCTCTTTTCTATTTTTGTCTCTAGCCTCTTTGCCGTTTCATTTTCTTTGTCCCTACTATCCCCCAATGCTTCTGTCATCCTCTCTTCTTCTTAACATTGTGGCAGAAGGCTTGGTGCTCCTGCTACTTTAAGGAGCAGGCAGGCTAGTGCTGAGGCAGCCTGCAGGTATGGCCAGGGCTGGTTACTGGAGTCATTTGACCATGGAGGAAGTCTGTGCTTAGGTAGGATATAAGCCCAGACCTGAGTAGAGCCAGCAGTAGCATCTTGGAATCTGCTGAGGAAACAGTTACTGAGCAGGATAGCTGCAGCTCTGAAAGACCAGCAAGGAGAGTGCAGTGTGATGCAGTTTGGAGGTTTGGGGAGGAAGTAAGGGGAGAAGGAGGTTCCTAGGAACCCAGGGAGGGGTCTAGAGCCTGGACTGAGGGGCTAAAAGTGTGGGACCAGCAAGGGTCCATGAACCTACTGAGGGACAGAGAATGTGGCACCAGAGAGGGTCTAGGAGCCCAAAGGAGGAACTAAAATAGAAAGTAACATCCATGAGTGATGACACCTGTGAGGCATGGGGCAAGGTGGAGGGGTGGAATGGAGCTACACAATTAACCCATTAGTCAGGGAGCACAGGCACCTGACACTTATTTGAGAGAGCAATTTGGGAAGCCCTGGGCCAGCCTCCCTCATATAAAAATATAAGACATCAAGGCATGGCAAGTGACTGAAAGGGTGATTGCTCCCAGAGAGCGAGGGCCAAAGTGACCCCAGGGGCTTCACGGCCACCTCTGGAAGGACACCTTGTCATACACCTCCCCTTTCTTATCCTCCTTTCTGCTTTTCACAGTCTCCACTGTATTCTGTCGCCTCTTTCACACACACATACACATTCTCTGCAAGACATATTTGCACTGTTTGCCACCTTAACCTTGGGTCCAACTCTGCCCCTTGCAAGATGAAATGAGACTTTATGTAATGTGAAGAATCAGTTCAAACTATTAGATGAATACAAATGTGTCCCATGGAAGCATATATATGAGTATCAAATACTGCTGTACTAGAGTGGCCAAGAATTCTTCGGCACGCAAGGAAATCTGAGACAGTTACTCTGAAAAATTCCAACATGAAACAGATCTAAAGTTACTGAGGTTCAGAACAGTAGCTTATACAGCTCAGGGTAACTTCATAGTTCCTTTGATTTAAATAATTTGCTAGCTTTGGATTCATACATCCAGGGATGATTTACCAATCATACACATGTGCAACAGTTTTCAGAGTGTGGGCTCAGATCCATCTCCACATAGACTAAACGCCTATGCCATGACTACATGCCTGCAGTAGTTTTAAGCACTAATAAGATGTTTTTAACGTCATCATTTTGAAAGCAGTACACACACATATGGCCTCTTTTAAAAGGACTTCTTAGCCTTACCCAGCCTTCATTCCATGACCATGTTTTGCCTTTTATCATGTAGAATGAAGAAATATGTTTGCTTCCAACCTTTACATATGGCAGAACTGTGCTCCCCCATACTTGATTTCACAATCAAGAAAAAGGACATCTTTAGTCAAAAGCCCTTTCTGATTCAATATTAATGTGAAGGCAGCAATTAGGGAAATAAAACTCGAAAGTATAAAAATAGGTAGCGAGCAATATAAATTAGAATAATAAAATATAGAAAATATATTAGGGAAGCTAAAGGTTTCAGGAAAAAATCTATGATGTCAAGGCTAAGGACAATAAGAAAGACTTCTTAAAGTATAGTAGGCATGGTGCGCATAGTTGATGCCCATTACTAGATCAATGTGATAGAAGTGTTAATAATGATGCAGAAAAGACAGCAATGTTCAATACGTATTTTTGTTTTGCATTGGGAAAGAATAAGGATGCTGTACTCATATCGAAGGGTATTGATGTTAAATGGTATAGGAAGAGGATTTTGTCTTCTGTGGTTCAGAGGTTTGCTTGCTGAATAACTGACAGGAATATTGTGAGTTCAAAGATGGGTGGGGGACAGAGGATCAGTCAAGAAGTATGGCTGGAGATGACAAGAGAAATTCTAGGGCAGTAAAAGTGGTTAAGGGGTTGGGGCACATCACTTATGAGGAGAGGCTGAAGGAATTGGGATTATTTTATTTAGTCTAGAGGAGACTGGGCACATCTCCATGTTCATTAATGCACTGTAATTATGGCACATTAAGTTTAGTACCTATAATAACAGGTACTAAATGTGCCATGATCAGCATTACTGTGCATTACTGCAGA